ATAATATGAGTCACATAATATGAGTAGTACAATGCAATATTCGTTTTTACATTCATTTGGGAAATTTTTCCCAAATTCAAAAGACATATGTGTAAAACTATCAGTTCTATAATAAATATTAAAATATTATATATTTTAAATATGTATTAATGTATCTATGTTTGTCATCTATGTGTTTATACATGGCTAGTGTGGTTATTTTTCAACTTTTTTTCTTCTTCGCTCTAATTCGCTCGATTTATTAGTTCAAAACTTACTAAATACTTGATTATGGTCTAGATCCTAACTACGTAGTCTTGACGTAGAGCAAGTGCCACTTCGTCTCCGGGCACGCGAAGCGGCCTTGATACATGAAAGTAAGATCGCATCTTATGTTTATAACGAGACGGTGTGTAAGTTTGCGTTGTATAATATATATAAACACAGATATTTGAAGTATACACGCGTTCGCGTGTTGTTTAAAATATGATCATACTGGGATATTTCCGTATCTGACATGCTTTGTTGAATAAAAACTCTGTTCTTATGTGTTTTCTCATAAATTATATATCAACATAAATCGTTTCTATCTTATGAAACTCTATTCTATAATTCAAGACGGATAAATTGTGAGCTTTATGTCTATCAATTTTAAAATTTTTTGATGTAATTTCTAATTACATTACAATTAAATATAAATTACATAATATTTATATTCAAGAACATGTTGGCACATGATAAATTGGAACATTTTAAGATCGCAGACATTCGAATGGCCTCAATCGCAAGGATATCATAACGCGAAACGTAATTCCGGAGACAATCGATTCCATTGTCCTTAGAATTTGCTCCGCGTGACAATAATTTAAGTCAGTGACCAAAGACTAGTGACTCACTTGCGTCGAGTTACTTGTTCACTAATAATTAACACGAAATCGATCATTAATCGAGTTTCCATGATCGAGAAGTTTAATATATACAGAACCTTTAATAGACAAAGTTCAGAATACATGAACAAGATATTCAAAATATTTTTAATAAAATTTTTTTTGTTCTAAATATTTTTAATTGTTGTTACAATTCTTTATATATGTGTATTATTAAATAATTATTAAATAAATGTTCTTAATTATAATTGCTTAATCATTTAATTTAATTTTTTTTTTTTTTCGTTATCACTTTTGTAATGTTTTATTTCAAGAGAGTACAAATATAATTGACAATTTGATATGATAAATATATATTTATAGATTAATTTTTTTACTTCCGAGTT